CTACTTTTCAACAATATTTTACATGAGGCTATTGTTTACAAGAATCAATCTTTTTTTTAAATTGAACAGACTTCTAACAATACTAATAAAGAGCACGACAAACCTAGCAGCAATCGTGGTTGATTTGCTGTCATTTCTTTAAGAGTTCCGTTGTCTGTCTCCGAAATTCATAATCAGATCTATATGAAATTTAAATGGGACCATTTCGGAAATTTTGAAAATCCATTCCACACAAAAAAATAATTAACATCCGAATTGATAACCTCCTCCTTTTTGAAGTCGTTTAACAATAGTTTGCTTTTAACCGAGTGCGTGGGGTAACTGTAGCCCTAAACTCTCCCCCTAATTCTAGTGGAGGGGGATGACTCCAAAGCAGCAACGCACTTGTAACTTCTAAGGTGCAGGTGTCCATCGGCGGCGGTAGTCACATACCATGAGGTGACGTGTATGTTCGTTTGCTCCCATTACGTAGAAAAAAAATTGGAACATAAGTGACACTTCATCATCAGTCAATCGCAGTCCACTGCTGGACATAGGCCTCTTCCATTGCACTTAAATGACACTTGTGCATTACAAAATATATCTCCCTTACCTGTGTAGTTTTCTTGACCATATTGTAATGGGAAAGTAGGAAGGCAGGCAGTAGTAAAACTGTGAAAAACTATGTTTGTGATAATGTCTCCACCTCAGATTATACAAACAAGGTTGTTTGTATGATCTGAGGTCTCCACACGGGTTAGATGTCAATATCGAGACTGGTATAGACATGGAATGAAAGAATAATTGCATGTAAAACGTATTTTTTAATAACATATTTTTAATAAGAAGAAATATTTTTTTGTATGTACATTTACTTACATTAGTAATATATTTAGTATATTTCGTTCGCAAAAAATTTTTAGACATAAATTATCGCGTCTCATTTCTATCATGAATAAAATATAAAAACTCTGCAAAAAAAAAAAAAACAATTCCTGTAGAGTAAATTTGTCACGAGCTCGTTAAAATTCTCGGCAGTAAGCTATTTTTACATAAAACTGCGTTAAATCTTTGATGTCGTTACAGTGAGGCTTTACATACATATATTCCACTGATAGCAGTCACGGTAATCCTTAACAGATAAGTATTTACGACTACTTAAATCGATATAATTTACGTCGTAATACCGATTTTCGAAAGCTCTAAAGTTTTACTGTTTTCAATATATGGTCCAGATGTTTACGTTAATCCGACAATATCATATTAATAAATTTCGAATTGTTCACGTAAAGATTTTGTTAGAAATAAATCATATTTTCTTCTTATCTTTATAATATATATAATTCTTCTGTGAGTGTGTATGTCACTGAACTTCTCTCAAACGACTGGACCGATTTTGATGAAATTTTTTGTGTGTGTTCAAGGGGATCTGGGAATGGTTTAGATTCACAATTTTGCCCGCTGGACAATGTTTTTTTAATTAATTTTTAATTTATTAGTAGTTGTTGATTTTGGAATGTTTTACATTGGATCAGACAGACGGCGCTACCATCGCAGTGTCAAATTTGACAGGACAACGTCTGTCGGATCCGCTAGTTCTTCTATATTAGGTTAAATTTCATTATCGAGGGTTGGATTACTAAAACACAGATTAAATAAAAAACTAGTCATCTTCATTATATTAGCTATAGGTATTCATTCGTCTGTTAAACACAAACCTCCCTAAATGAATTCCAAGAAGACTTGTTGGAAACAACTGCTATTCATATAGCAGTCTCAGCAGCAGGTCTCCTAAGAAAGAGCCTTACTTAGCCTACTATGCTACGCTGGTCAGAAGGGTTGATATACCTAGGGATTGTTTCAAGGTTTTCTTCTCTTTGTAGTGCTTTTGGCCTGCAGAGTTTTAGGATACGCTCGGGATGATTAGGGGTGGTGACACTCAGATTTCTGAATACGTCACCACACGGACAACGTACGTACGTTGTTGCAGTTTCATTCTAGTTCCGTATTTATAGTAAATGGGTGTAAAACAAAAAAAATAGATAAATCTCAATGTCTATCAGTTCGGGTTCATCTGTTGTATCTTATATTTTTATCTTGTACATTTATTAATCAATTGCGAAAAATGTAAAGTCTTACCGAACTCATGCTATGCGAAATATAACGAACATAACATTCAACGACTTTTATTTAAATTGCCGAATTGTATTATACTGCTTCGTCGTAGCGTTGGTGAGCGTGTCAAACGCTGCTACTCTTGTACTTGTGCGTATAGACGCATTTGACGCCGCTCTTCTGAATAGCTCGAACTAATTACTATGGTATTGATCCCGTTTTAGCGTGCAAATAACCTATTTACATTGCCAGTTTCTGGTGATAGACTTTAGGAATTCGGATCAAAGCAGACTAGACATGGTAATTATTGCTACTTTTAGATCATATCCATATGATGAAATGATTTGTTTTAGTCACAGCCACTTCATAAAGTAGGCCCCGCAAGCATTGGAAAGAATAAAAATATTATTTTATATTTTTGGATCATGACATGCACAGATCAATGTTTAAGTAAATTATTGTCTTTATTTAATAAGATAAGTACCAATCATAGTATTGAAGAATCAGGTAAAGAAAGCCAGACTTCAATCAAACACTGTTTCAGCTTGGTTTGTTTAGTTAATGTTTCAAGTGCCAATATTAGTAAAGACGTTTAAATAAAAAACTTCATGATATTCGCAAATTAGTGGTTTATTTAAAATGTGTAGATCTTGAGTCACTATCATTTAGTACAGCCGAACATCACCTTGCACTCTTCTATATCTCTGTATTTTATTTTAAAATTCTGAACAATTTTTATATAGTTTTGTCTGTTCAGCCACATGGACCGCTTAAAAATCCGCTTGCGTTTTGAATCAGCCGCGTGGCAAAGGAAACCACCGTCGAGGACGACCATGCGGTATTCCTGCAGACACATCTCCAACATCTAGGATAAAAGAAAATTTGTATTATTTCATCGATATTACACTAATATATTTTTTAGTCATGTCATTTAGAAGGCTTTTCGATGGTCTTCTTCGATTGTAACGGGCTTGTTATTCTTCAGTATTACAATAATCATTATAAGTCTATCATTCCGTATGTGCGAAAGACGAAATCGTTGAATAATACAAAATAAATTATGCAATAAATTTATATTGTAAGTAAAGATACGTTGTATATTTAAAAACTTGTCGACTTAGAAAACTACGTTTGTGTCCAAAGTGCCAATAAGGACACTAGAATTAAGACGAATCAGCGGTGTGTTTATTTTATACTTACCTACAATCTTTTAAAACAACCATATAGTACAGAATGTGCGGCGCTAAATATCTTGATATATAAAAAAAACTGGCTTGTTTTTCAACGGAATAATCCGGGTAAAAGATAAAAATCGCACAGGTGCCAAAAACTTTCCCGAAAAAATGTTTTTGTTTAATGCAAAATAAAAAAAAAGGTTGTAGTGTGAGAAAAAACGAATAAATGAGACGCTGATTTCATTAGAATTTATCTCGAAAGTCTTCATTTTTCACCCTTCATTTTCTCAGCTTGTGCGACTCGTAGGAAATCCGTTTGGGGCTACAATTATAGCTTTTAATACTGTTTTTTTGTAAGAAAAAAAATTCGTCGCAAGGCAACTTGCTACGACCGAAAATTATTATTTTTAAACTAAAACTTCTACCCGGATTATCCCGTTGATAAACCAGACAGTTTATTTTTTTCGATCTGAGCTTTCTCAGCCTGTACGGTGCTACTGAGTGCATACGGCGCTCAGAACAAAAACATCTTTCACACACGCACTAATAAACATTAACACCCGTGACATCAATAGCGTAGATCAGAATATTTATACACATTAGTTAATATTATTATCTTAACGATTTTAAAATAGACACAGCTTAAAAGTTTATTGAGTATGATAACTATAAACTGAACCTAAATTGAACAGCCTTTCGTTAACTTATTCGATGACTGATGCCTGCAAACCCAAATATACGAAGGAGGTAGTGTACTTGGGGTCTCAAATACTTGTTCTTATCGGTTTGAGAGTGAGTATAGTTCTATAGGACAGTAGGTCTGACCAACTAATATCGCCACTTTGCATGGGTCATCTATATATTCAATAACATTCACATACTTTCACCTCCATATCGATACAAAAAATTACATCACAAATATTACTAATAAAACTCACGAAAATAGTTTACTTAAATTTATTGTGACTGCGTCATGGCGCGAGTTTAGTGAGACATACACCTTCAACAAGAGCCTCAATCAAGACAAAAGTCCCTGTTGGATGCTAGTCATATTCTCACAAAATATAAAACTGCCGTCTAGGGTGACTTTGTGTAACTTTGGCGTAACTTTGAACCCACAGAAAACTCACAAACAAGATTATCTTGTTTTGCTCGTCTTCTTTATTTTGTATCAGTTGTAAAACATATCGTATAATCCGTGTGGTGACGGATAAGAATACGGAATGTCCCCACCCCTATTCATCCCGAGGGTGTCGTAAGAGCCGACTAAGGGAACAAACTGCACAGGACAACAGCACTGCAAAAAGAAGGAAAAATTGAAACAAACCCTATACCAACCCGTCTGGAGAGGCCTATGTCCAGCAGTGGACTATTATAGGCTGTTGATGATGATGATGATGAAAATATACTGAACACTAATGTGGCAAATATGCATAACTAAAGTTCGCTCGTTGAAAAGCTAGTGTCTTAAACTGTGGACACTTTAAACACAATAGGTTGTATAACATATCCAAACCTGCAAAAACCCAAAAAGCCCAGGAAGGATCGTCATTAAAATTATTGTAATGAATAAACTTAATGGCTTTTATTGCATACGAATGAATTTTAGCGTATTTTCCAAATCAATAAGTGTATTAACTCAAATAAAAAAGAAAAATATTAACAAAAAGTATAATATAGTTTCATAAATAGAAATAAACAAAAAATATAACTACTAAATATTAAAAAGGATTAGTATTCACTTTCTAATAAGCACATTGATTTCGATCTGTCGTTATATTTTTCCTTGAAGTACATGATAATACAATACAACTTCACGGAATTACTGTACAGTGATTTTCTGGGGATAAATTGGGAACCGTGCAGTGCAGGACTGTCGGGGCCATGGACTAGGAAACCTCCATCCAAGATCTTGAACTCGTAGTCTTGGAGACACAACTCCATTATCTAAGGAATAATTAAGAGGGCTTATTACTCTTTATCGAATTGTACCCTTTAAACCGTCTCTGTACTAAACATTGTGATAATATCTTAATGAGTGATCGGATATCGTCCTGTTGGTCTAGTGATTAGTGACCCTGACTGCTAAGCCACCTGACGCTGCTAAGACGTCGACCACCAGATGTGTGTGGTATTTTATTATATTTTTTTTTCTACATTGTAAAATAAGGTTTATAATTTGTGTTTTGAGTTCAATTTTAGGGTAAAGTTCTTCTATCCTATCTATATAAATATCTTCTATTATATAGATGTGTAAAAATAAAGAAATATACTTTATTTTAAACGTTACTTAGTAATAGTTAGGCGGTTTCTAGACGAATGTTAATATTATTCTGCATTGATTCACACTTTTAAATAAGTAAAAAAAAGAACAATTGCAGAAAAGTACGACATTTTCTATAATATTACAATAGCAGAGTGGGAATGAATTAGAAATTCTAAATTCAGATTTTCTCAAAGCGACACCACATGCTTCTCTAAAACAGGAAGAAGACATAACATTTCCAAAGATCCTACCAAAAAATGCGTAAAAATGTCTACGTTTTAACGCCATAGCCTCACATTTTCATAAACCCTCTTAAGTATAAGACCTCTTATTCTTCATAATGTAACGAAGGTGTAAAGTACATAAAACACAATCTTAAAATACTTGTCCTTAGGAATAAATTATAAGTGCTTTTACGTTATATAACATTGAATGTACTATATTAAACGAAGATTATGTGGTCACTTGTGTTGTGGAACCTTGCTTGATTTGTATGCCAAAGTGGCAGATCATGAAATAAACATCATTAAAAATTATGTAAATTATTCCGTATCTTTTATGGTGTTGATTGATTTTTTTACAGCTTCAAGGGACCGCAATTTCAACTTGATGCCACGCATTTTTTTAGTTCAAAAAAAAAACGTAAACAAAAAAAAAGACAAAATATTAAATAGTAACTGGGTGTAATGGTAAATTTAAAGTCCAGAGCTGTGTCTCAGAACAGACTCTGAATTTCGGACTTTTCAGTGAAAGTGTGAATCAGTGATTTTATAAATCCAACCAGTTAAGGTAAGGATATAATTATTATTTTTGTTATAAGTACCAAGTCTACACTGATAAGATAAGATAAGATCTACACGGATAAGATTCTCGTAACGTAACTATAAGATCTTAATCAATGAGCACCAAACGAGCACCTACCTAATAATGATATTTAAAAGCTTAATATTTCTTAAACTCGTGATCTTAATTACGCAACGCTAAAATGGTATGGACAACAGAAAGGCTATTATATTTCTATAGACAAGTAATTCTGTGATAGCAAAGATAATTTAACACAGACAGAATATATCAGAGCTACTGCAATCAGTACAAGGCAAACCTCATGAACTATTTTGTATTAAAATAGACTTGACGACTGCGACATTATTCCCCTATGTACACTAAAAATTGAGAGATATATAAAGAGAGGAGAGGCCTATGTCTAGCAATGGACTGCGATAGGCTGATGATGATATATCATCAAAGATAATCAAAGATCTAAATTGTTTTTTTACCTGTGTCATTTTATCCTGGCGTCCCTCCCATGTCAACATCTCGCTGTACCATGGCTCCTTATTAGTCCCGAAGTAGAGAGGCTCCCATCTATGATAAGGATATTCCCGCTTGGAGATCAGCATAGGCTGAAAAAAAACTAGTATATTAATTCAAGAGTAAAAACTGTCGACCCCACATCTTTCGTTTATTAAAAAATAGCCCATGTCTTTCCTCAAGAATTTAACTATCTTGATACCAAATTTTGTCTAAATCGGTTCAGCGGTGTAAGCGTGAAAAGGTAACAGACAGACAGAACGATTAGTATGGATGACGTTAATAACCGGTAGTAGATGGTACTAGTCAAACTCGTCAGTCTTACGTTTTTCAAATCGGTATAACTGTTTTCATATAGAAAACATGTTTAGGGATTATCTACGTAATTTTAAACTTTAGCGAAGAAAGATTATTAAGAGATTCGTCATATTTTTGTATAGGTTATACAATAAATAATAATGTTCAATTTTTTTTTTCTCTCTCTCTCTTAAAATTTTGCTGAACATAGCTTCACTTAGAAAATCTAACATTCAAAAGCTATCTTAGCGAAATATATGATAATCAAACAAAGTATCTATAAATCACAGAAGTAGTTTAATGTTTGGAACCACAACACTCGTGACAGTGTTTGTTAACGAGCCCTTCAAAGTCTTCAAAGTTCCATTACTAATTTACAACTTAAACCACTGGAGTACAAAGTTATCAGTAACATGAATTTATACTTGGCATCTTTGCTCTACTTGTAGATCATTGACAGCGTTACAATTAATCACGTGTGTAAATTAGACTACAATCAGTTAATTGTAGACATTTCGATTTGAGCACAAATTTACATGTATAATTACAATGTATAAATACAAAAGACGGGGCTGTTGGTCTAGTGGTTAGTGGCCCTGACTGCTAAGCCGGGAGGTCGTGGGTTCGACTCCCAGCCAGGACAAATATTGTGTGGTCTGCACGGTCATTTGTTCTGTGTCTAGGTGTAATTTATCTATAATATGTATGTATTTAAAAATGTAAAAGTATATTTATCAGCAGTCTGGTAACATTAGCACAGGCTCTGCCTAGTTTGGGATCAGACGGCCGTGTGTGAAATGTGTGAAAAAAATATATTTGAACGTGCGCAAACTGAATGCACACTCAATTAGTACCTGTATTAAACAGGTGCTTATGATTATTTTCATATGACGTCCTCTAGATTTATTAATCCACAAACCATAATTATATCTACATTTAAATTTATTATTAATACTATTATTACTAACTGTCATTTATACAAGAATACAATAAAGTATTGTGATATAATTTAAAACACCACATACTTATATATGTGGTAACATTTTAAATCTGAATTGACATTAGTCTAAAAAGGAAAATTACACACTGCGTTCTTGACCGCAGCTATACCATAAACATTAAAATGCGTTCAAATCTTTTAGACCTGATTTAATTTCTGTGAAACAGACTTTAATTCTGAAAACAAATTATATACATTACGTAACCGTAAGAAAGTACTACGTTATTTGGTTTTAAATTAGACCTCTGTACGCTATAGGTGCGTGTGATATATAGATTAATATAATTGAATAGAGAATGTAAAACAAGATAAAAGGGAGACCTAGTCTGCAAAGTTAAAACGCAGTCACCTGTTGTTAAGCCAAGCCAGCAGCAAAAGCAGGATAACACTGCGTAACGTCTGCGTAACACGAGGTGTATAATAATGAAAAAATAATTAAGTAGTTACCAATTTCGTAATAATGAGTTTTTAAACCTGAAAGCCTAAATAAGTAAATGATACCAGTCATTTTAGTTTATATATATTATAGTTATATATATATATATATATATATGTTATAGTTTTACGCAATCATTACATAACTATTTATAAAACAACGTACTGCCGAGCTAACCACACACCTGCTGTGTTCAAAACCCGTCGGAAGGTTCTAAAAGACTTTTTAATGATCTATAAGAAACTTTAAAACTCTCCTAATACAGAAAACTATCACAACCTATAGGTGGAACCGCACATATTCGCACGATTTTGATCTATAACAAATCACCCTTGACATCCAATAATTGCCAATTTGCGAAACTTGCCATGACTTCATAAATGTAGAAATATTTGTCTCATATCCTACTTCAGTTTTTATTTATGTTGTGTAATTTCAATATCTAAGCCGCTGTGAAAACCAACCAATAGACAAAGTATCGGTAATGCCATATCTGCGAGGTACACTTATTAAGTGTGAAAACGCTTCAACGCGCTGTTTTGAAAATAATTTTAAGAGGGTGGTACTTGAAAAATAAATGGAGACAAGCTCCTTCCTCTTCTCAAGACAAATGGCTTTTACAATGTTGTTCGACAAACGACGAAGGGAGCAGAATTCATGAAGCGGCGCAATATGAACTGACGGACACCGTTAGAATTTCTTTAATAGAAAGAAGTACTCTTAAAACAGGCTGAGACATTTTCTCCCTATAAAGCTGCGTCATAATGATTATAATGCGTAAAATATAACATTTTTAATTAAATAAATTTTAGACATTTTGTTGTAAAGCGATACAAAAAAATTACGATCAAATGACAGCGGATTCGATTTCCATCCAGTACGCTACTGTTGTGAACCCATCTAAAATATCAGAGGACATTTTTGCTGCGGCGTGGTCTTAATAAAATAGACAGATTGTGGTTTCATAAACAGCACAAATGCGTTTTGCATTACAGTCTATTTTTACAAAACATAATTAAGTGCGTATTATTATTATTATTTTTATATAAAAAAAAATCATTCCAGTATAATTAGTTTTTACAAAGTAGGTATTCTGTTCTTTTTTTGGTTCAGTTTCTTTCAAACTAATGGTGAGTTATTATCCATCCGTCCCTTACTGTCGTTACACTACTGTAACACCTTTGAAATATAATTTTAAGTACTAGTTAAGTAATTATCGAATCAAGACCGTAGTTCAATACGTTTATTTGACTTGAATACAGTGAAATAATTAAGCATGAAACAGTTGCAGCTATGATTACAAAGTGTTATAGTGGCACTGTTATTACACGAAGTTCTACATAATTAGTAAGCAATTAGTTGGCGTCGAGACTATGACACGAGAGATTGTAGGCGGGTTAAATGAATTACAATCATGGCTGCCACGACAAGATGGCACTGCCATGATTGGTTCTCAGATGAATTAGTTATTAAGCCATCCATACGGGATTTCGGCTCGGGTTTACGACTTAAGAATAAGACGTCTTAGAATATGTTTGAGAGAGGTTAAAGTAATCGATTAACGTATTTGGAAGGATCTCGAATTAAGCAGTAGAAATAGCTTGAAATTACTTTAACGTAATGTGTAAGATTGATTATGTTTAATGCATGGTTATAAAATAAAAACAAAATAAAATGTTTAAACTTTACCCTATCTTAAGTGAAAAAAGCACTTAATGACGATTTTAGAACCTAATAAGTGCACCTTTAACTTAGGCACATATGCCTAAATAAGATGGCTAACACAACACGCGCCAAATAGCACTGATAGTAAGCGTCTCATTCTGTATTTATTGTCATATACATAATGTGAATCAACATGGATGTAGACTAGCACCAGACACTTTTTCATAAGTATTCAAGTCCACTTTTTCATATCAACATGTCGGTTTTTTTCATATCAGAACACGTACATAACCCATCAGAATTAATGTAGGTTGCTAATTGCCTGGATGTTTCTACTCAGTTAACGAATATTTAAATCACAAATTCAAATAAAATTTTAGTTATTTATTGGTCTGTTGATTGATCTATCATCAAAAATGTATATTAATAATGTTTCAATTAGTAGTTGTAATTTATTGCATTTCTAATGTACTTTTTTTATGGAAGAGGGGGTAAACGAGTAGACGGGTCACCTGATAGAAACTACCTACCTATAGAACTACAACTACCATTGCCCATGAACGCCTGCAACTCAGGAGTCACAAGCGCGTTGCCGGCCTCTAAGAAAGGAGTACGCTCTTTTCTTGAATATTTGAAGTTCGTAATTCGTATTATAGGGTAATAGTTGTCATGTAAATTATTTGTGTTTAAATGGCAAGTGTGTTAGAAGTGTTTAATGGTGTATTTATCACCGTTAATATCACATTTACCAGATTAAAAGAATTGAATTGAATTGATCCAAGCGATGAATGATATGTATGACCTATAAACAAGCATAATAAGGATTACTCGGTATAATTTGTCGCCTTAACCTTCACTTTTGTTTGAAGTATTTGTAATTAAAACCTCTTGAGAATATTCCAACCAGTAAGCTATCCTCGAGGCGTGTTTTCTTTAATATAAACACATCGGTATACCTACTATAGCGATTTCTATAGAACTTTATCAATCGGGTTCAAAAGTTTCTCTGACAACGGAACAAGTGCGTCAGCTTCCGAACAATATTTGCGGAAAATTCTATTTCGTTTGTAAAAGTCAACGCAACGAATGTCTACGATGTAATAGTATTTTATATTGTATGCGTATTTCGTGCGAAATCTTTGTAACACTCATATTTAAATGTGGTTTGGTAGATAAATAAATATAAAAAGACGTTTAACATTTGCGCATATTTGAGAGAAATTGAAATAGAATTGTATGTTTTCTGGTATGTGATTGACCATATTGTAAGTTTAAAATTTCAATAAGCTTATTAGTATAAGATTATTTATACTCATGGAGCATGGAGCACAGTTAAAAGGTTAAAATCCACTTAGGTCTTGTAATGGTCTTGTTTAATCTGTAACACAAGTTAATGAACTTTTAAATCCTAGAGGCAATACCGAGACTAGGCACTAGTTAGTCCATGTATTTTTACATTTACTAGCTACGTTAGCCACACACGAGCACACCAACGACAATTTGAACGAAGTTGTAGTCGGTCGCCGTGGCCTTAATTGGTCGAGGCTAGATTTGACAGTCCAATAAATAGACGAGATGTCAGGTGTTAAACATCATAATATGTGACCACTATTTTTTTATTACTATCAGTGTGGTGACGGATTAAGAATATGGAATGTCACTAAGAAAATTATACAGGACAACAGCTCAGCAGAAGGAAAACTTTACAGAAACTCCATACGAACCCGTCTGGCCTGCGTTTAGAAAGAAAACGAAAATCATTTTTAGTTACATTGATTGCAAATAAGCCTCATTTTTTTAATATGCTGTTGTTCTATTTTTTACTCCTCCAAAATTTGTGCAAAATTTGTGGATATCTCAAAAACCGCAAGTCACAGTTCTAAAAGCAACGATCCAGTGGACGAATTCATGAGGATTATATTCAAGTTAGGCATCATGGGCCCGGAATCCATATTGTCCCTTTTCCTAGGACAAGTTTAGATTAGTGAGAAAACACCCACAACTTCACTTAAGCCAGCCATAAGGCTTGCAGGCAGCCGAGCTCTATATACCCGGTTCTAATTGAGGGACGCGGTTCGTTTTGGTTTATATACACTTGCTACGAGTATAAGGAGCTCTTTCATTTGATCTTTTGCCCGCATCAATTGATTGAGTTAGAGAGGAGCTAAGTGTGAACATTCCACTCAACCTCTTCACTATAATAATAACAAAGAGTGAATTTTAGCTAGCTTCTATTCTGCTAAATACCTTATCAGTTAGGTACTGGTTCAAACAATCTTGCCAATATTTAATTTACGCATTCAAATCCATTAAAAATCCTAGACTTTATGATTGGATTCAAACTTTGGCTAAAAATTTAAGTAATAAACTTTTATCAGATTGATCATTGACTCAGCCGTCGTGTATGCGTATCATTTTAGAGCACCTAATAAAGACGAATTACGTCATCTCTAAGTTTTGGTTTGAGAATGACTCATTTTTGTAAAAACTCCTATGTTACCTTTAAAATACCGTAGGCTATGTATAAAGCAATAAAAGCTCTTAACAACTATTAATAGGCAAACATAGTTCTGCGAGTTTTCCCGCTCGACCTAGTTTGAACTCCACTGTGCATTTGCTAGTGTCTGCGTGTATTTATCAATGTGTATACATATAGTAAGCTGTTAGCAAGTTATTGTTTTATGACTTTTTTGTTTCAATTTTTAGGGTTCCGTTCCTCAAAACAAAAAAGAAATTCTTAAATGATATTCTAGAAGTCCGTCTGCCTGTCCATCTCTCAAGACCCTTAATCTCAGAAACACATGAAGAAATCAAATATAAATAGTTATGGTTCATTAAAGCTAAGAAAAAATACTAGTGTGCTACTAAGTCAATGCTATTAAAAAGTATGGTCTTTTAAGCTATATATTTTGCAGATAAATTAAAACCTATCGGGTAAATTGGTAGTGACATAAAATTTCCCTGAATTGAATTTGAAAACTACATTTAAATAGTAAAAAACTATCTTTTTCACTATACATAATGGTTATTTCCAAACAAGCTCTACCCAGAAACATTCACATAACAACATCAGCTCTGTAAACAAATATTTAAAGACAATTAAAACGAGGAAACTCAAAGCTATTCCCTCGATATTTTCAATTACAATCACTCAATATCGACGAAATTTTCCCGATTCAATATTTGTTGTGTAAATTGAACACCTACTAAAGATATATTATATTAATACATATACATACACATGGATAAATCTTTTTTAAATTGTTGAACCGACTTCAAACAATACTGAATAAAAATAAAAATAATTACAAATGTAAGTAAAAAAACTATAATAAGTACCCAGAATATAAGAGGTAAAATTATAATAGCAATAGTCCCTTCTAGTTTGTTTGTTGGCGCCAAGCCAAATTTGTGCTTGATAGGCTTGGTAGAATGTAGCGCGGCAGCTGCAATAGTCTTCATGCTGCGCAAAACACGCTGAACGAGCTGAAGTGGGTTACGCACAACTCGAATGATATTATTATTACGAATGCTATATTAATTAGTTGATAAGTTTGCCTACGTAATTGGTCTGGTTGGTCTTAATTAATTAATAACATCTTTGATGTTTTATTAAAATTATATTGAATTCTTCATATTTTAGTGTACTATAAAGCACACACACAATAAAATAGACAAAGATAATAAATAGAATAGAAATTAAAGAGTTTTGAGGTAACAAACCTGAAAATACAATACAATCTTTTTTTGTCTCTTGTGCTCAGTTCTCTGTAACCCAACACGAACACCTAACAGATATCTTGAAAGAATAAAACAAGGTTAATACTTGATTATATTTTTGAAAGAGTTATTCTATGACTCCTAAAGGTCAAGGATCCTTCCATCATCAGCTCAGCAACATGACATAACGACTATTAAACGCAAATACCTATGAAGCTAGAGAGATAAGCTAAAACACGTTGTCGTGCCTGTAAAATTTTAGGGTTTCCATCGATTTCTCTAGGATTCCTTCATCGGATCCTGATTTGGTGGTAATGGAACTACCTCGGAAGTATACCCTTTCAATTACAAAAAGATTTATAATAGTATCTAAAAAACATACTTTACATAACTTTACAGTAGATTTTTTGGCATATAATTTATTTTAAAACCCCAAAATATGATATTATCCCCGCAGAACTTCAGCCGAAAGCATCAACGTCTTCCCTATTTGGTGAGATATGGTAGGGAAGAAGGTAGGTAGTATTTTTGTTGAATGAAATTAATTATTGTTGATTGTACATGTAGTAATTTAAGCTATACGAGTTCCACTATTAATGTTTTGATTTCGTATTGATACCTGAGGTAAATTAGAACTAGCTTGGAACAAATGCGAAATGGCTTCAGAGACGTTTAATTGAACACATTATACGAGTATATCCAATGTCGAGTGTGGTTACAATAATTTGTATGTATGTTTGTTTCAAAGATTACTTAAACCTCAACCAAATATTTTAGTCACGTTTATTACGTCGGGTCTATATAAAATTATATACTAATGTGGTGTTTTACTGATTATTTATTTATATTAAAGCGTATTTATGTAAGCAGGTATTGCTGGATAAGGAATAATAATGTATTTTTTAAAATAGCTTCGTAAATAACCCATTTTCTTTTTGTAATATTTGAAAGATAAAAATGGTTACTGCGGTAGGTAATAATGGTTACTTTAGGAGATAGACATGCCGCCGAGAGTGTGGCCGCGGGTGGACGGGACGGGTTTTCCCCTCAACTTGCCATAACGGCCAGCTGCGAGGAGGCGACGTCCGCGTGTGCCGGACGTCGCCTAAATAGAGGATGTACCTGAAGGTGGTGCACGCACCGTTGCGGGCAGGCGCTAGGAGGGATCCGGAGGTCCTAATAACAGCAGTTCCCGGATCCCTCCTATTACAGGCGCAGAGTGGCACACCGTGTGGTTTTAGTCGGTCCGATTCCGACACACCACCCCGCCGTAAACCCCGGTGATGGTGATGGCTCGAGGGGGTTTCCACACGTTAAAAAAAGAAAAAAAAGGAGATAGACATATAGCATCGCAAACTTTTTTATAGATCTTTTTAAGATATACAATGCCGTAGTACATTATTTTGGTCTAACTCGTAAGGTTTAGCCAGCGTTTGCAATGTAAGCGCAGAAAAACATGTTTTTGAATACAAATCTTTAACATGCATCTATTATACATATAAACCTTCCTCTTGAATCACTCTCTCTATCGGTGTAAACCGCATTAAAATCTGTTACTTAATTTAAAAGATCTAAGCGTACAACACAAGAAAGCGACTTTATTTTATACTATGTAAAGATGTACTAAACTGGTGTACAATAAAGTACAAAATACAATATAGTATAGTGTACAAATTTTTTTTGGATGAACAAAAATTTATGTAAAATCTTTATCTGTAAATATTCACTGTGAACTCATTTTCATTAAATTTTCATATCAGCTCAGCGAACGATCCCAGGAAGATTGTAATACGATAGCTACCAGAATTTAGTTTTAGTTTTTGGTACCCTATTGCATATCTCAGAATGCGTGTCAAAAAAATACAATTTGGCAAAATAGATTCACTAACCTATTCTGATCAAAATCCTACTCACCAATTTTACACTACAATAAAAAATTATCTAAATAAAAATATATCTACCTATTTCAATCATTCATACGAGTATTAAGTAAATCATTACCTCTAAAACATTTCGCGCTGGTCTCGCTAACCACGTCTGCAATCCAGGAAACCGTTGGCAATGAGAGCACAACTTCTGGTGGAAGTACCTCGCCAAATTTTTCTGCACCATCTGTACTAACCTGGTGGTAAATATTGAATAAAATAGTATACAAAATATTTCTTTATTAATGTATTAACATAAGATTATTCTATATCATTCACGCATTTTTAATAAAGTGAAATAAATTATTGATTTTGAAACTTACGATATAAGTTACAATTTTATACTAATTAACCTCTTTTCTAAGGAGAGGCCTATGTCTACAGCAGTGGACTATTAAAGGCTGTTGATGATGATGATGATATACAAATTAAAAAAAAAACATTTTATAACAAAAAGAAACCCTAAACTAAAGAAAACAATTATTAGATAATAATTAAAGTTTGTCCTGCGTAGTTAATTTCCTTAGTCGGCTCTTGCGACACCGGCCACGGGATGTATAGGGGTGGTGACACTCTGTATTCTTAATCCGTCACGACACGGATAGAGAGGGAAAAGAAAAGGAAAACTTGAAACAAACCCTATGCCAACCCGTCTGACCAGCGTGGTATAGTAGGCCAAAACCTCCTTTATAAGGAAAGGCCTATGTCCAGCAGTGGACTAGTAAAGTTGATGATGAATCAAAGTTTACATAAAACACTATTTATGGTTATTTACACATTTTTCACGATTGACAAACAAAAATATACATTTTAACCTGTTTCGACAGTTTGTAACTTCTTTAAAGTTTTAAACATCACTAGAAATGTCTAACATCGTGAAATGATTTACCTGGATTCAAACGCAACTTGTATAACCAAACAAATAATGTTGACCTATATTTAAATACAGCCTCCATGACCGAACAAATTATTACAGTTTGAGTTGACTGGTTAAGAGTTACCATTTTATTAAAGGGGCTAATTTGACCTTATTGCTTTTATTCCAACATTAAAACAACAACGTTTGAATGATTATACATCAAACTGTTTGAATGATAGGCAGTAAAACTTTACCCCAATAAAATTCTACCACATTTTACAACAGCCAGCTGAAAATTATTCTAACATTTGCCGCCAATATTTGTCAGGCAATGGCAATAAAAGTGGCTGTAAAGTTTTAAATGTAAGACTTTCACAATATAATTTGGAAAGAGTCTTCTCTCAATAAAATGGAATTGATATTGTAAATCAATTATATTTACGGTTCTGCAAGATAGAAAACTCTTAATTCATTTTAGGTGTTTTTATTGTGCGGGGCCAGTTTCCGAAATTGTGGAAGACGGGGAAACTGGTCCTCATCCGAAAGGAGGGGCGCCCGGCGGACTCACCGTCCGTGGTGCCTTCTTGGATGGTGTCGCCGTCGTGTGCTACGCGGACGACACACTCGTGACGGCGCGCGGCAAGACGCACCACGAGGCAACCCTGAGGGCCACGGCCGGGGTTGCCCAAGTCGTTGAGCGTATCCGGCGGCTGGGTCTCGAGGTGGCTCTGCACAAGTCCGAGGCCCTGTTCTTCCACGGGCTTCGGAGGAAGCCGCCTGAGGGATCTAGCCTCACGGTAGGAGGCACTCGCATCGGCATCGAGCCCTCGATCAGGTATCTGGGGCTCGTACTCGATGGCCGATGGGACTTCGGATATCATTTCCGAGGTCTGGTCCGATGTCTCCTGCAGGAGACTCTACTCGGGGGTTGTGCGGTCCATGGCCCTTTACGGGTGCCCAGTATGGGCGGGGGCCCTGAAGGTCAGCAACCTCGCGATACTGCGACGACCGCAGCGAGTGCTGGCCATCAGGATCATAAGGGGGTACCGCACGATCTCCTTTGAGGCGGCGAGTCTCCTGGTCCGAACTCCACCGTGGGACCTGGAGGCGAGAGCCCTTGCGGCTCTGTATCAGTGGCGCAAGGAGGCGCGGGAGTTGGGTCGATGCCCCGAGATTCGAGAAATCGATGACCGGAAATCCCAACTCCGCCTGGTCATCATAGGGGAGCGCCGGGCACGCCGTCATCGCGGCGGTAAGACCCGTTATGGAGGATTGGCTCGAGAGGCGTCACGGGACCCTCTCATACCGATTGACGCAGGTGATTGACTGGGAAGGGATGTTTCGGGGATCACCTGTGTCTGATCCGCAAGGAGCCAACGCCTGAGTGCCACCACTGCGATGGCCAGACCGTGGACACGGCTCTCCACACGCTGGCAGAGTGGCCGGCGTGGGTTGAGCAGAGGCGAGACCTCGTGGCGGCCATCGGAGTGGGAGTTCTCTCGATCGATAGCCTGATTGCGGCTATCGTGCGGAGCGAGAGTGCGTGGAACTCTGCCGTCTCCTTCTGCGAGCAAGTTATGCTCGCGGAGACGGCGGAGCGGGACCGGGAGAGGTTTAGGACTCTCCCGGCCCGCCAGGCCCGGGAACGGGCCAGGTACCGCAGGCGACTCAGGCGCCGGAGGTCGCAGAACGACCTCCGGCGCCAGGGACTTCCTTTCTAGGGTATACCTGGTTCCCCGGCTATTAGTACCCGAGACGGCGTGCGGTTTTAGTCGGTTCGGGTCCGACATGCCACCGACAGGTGGTATCCGAGGGGATTTCCGCACGGGAAAAAAAAAAAAAGGTGTTTTTATTGTGCATAGAAATAATAATAATGTTTGTCTGGGTGTTTCTTTGTATAATAAGTATGTATTTATAAAAAAAAAGTATAAATGTATTTATATCAGTTGCATAGTACATGGGTACTATGCAACTGATATAAATACATTTATACTTTTTTTTTTATAAATACATACTTATTATGTGAACAAAGCAGACCTTGTACTATGGAGTACAAGGTCTGCTTTGTTTGGGACTAGATGGCGTTGTGTGAATGTGGTAGAATATTATTATTATTTATCATCATCATCATCAGCCTATCGCAGTCCACTGCTGGACACAGGCCTCTCTTATTGCACGCCACTTAGATCGATTTTTCGTTGTCAGTCTTATTAATAATTAATAAAAATCTTTCTAGATTCAATATCCCATTGAGGCCATATACCTACAACTTAAAATTTTTATTATAAGATACCTGTTTATTACAAGAATACTACATCTCATATCATACTTATAAATGTGATAGTGAGAGTTTGTTTGTTACTCTTTCAAGCCTAACTACAAAACCAATTTTAAAAATTATTTTACTAATGCAAAGCTACATTATCAGCGAGTAACATAGGCTACCTTTTACCGCGATAACCGATATATACGCGGGCGGACGGAAGAATTTCTTAGACGTTTTAAATTTACCTTCCATAATTCAAACGTTACAACTCAAGAATTGATACCGTCGGGATTCAGTTGGCTTCACTGTCATTGGATACAATAAACGCACGCACAAAATAAACATCATCTCAAACTACTTACAATAAAGAAATACTATAAAGAAAATACTGAGGACGAGATAAAACGGAAACAATGTAATCGCTCTCATATATTATGGTTAGTACCTTTAAATATCTATTATTTATTATGAAGTTCGTCCTCAGTCTAATCACGTACAAGATATAAGAAAAGGAATTATGATGGCTATGTATTAGAAGAATATCATGGGGAAACCTCTGATACGAACTAAATGATATGTGCGCAGAATAGTAAAGTTAAGGCAAAACAAAATGAATAGTTGGATACCGTGATTGCGCAACACGTAATGTTATTGAGAATACTGTATTTTACTCTATGAATATAACGACAGAAAAGGTGAAGATGGTTAATATACAGTACTCTTATAAATATGTTTATGAATATAACAATTTACTTGAAACTCAAATTCAAATATTTTTTATTTGTAGGACAAAAATGCACGTAAGAAAATGGATAATAGAAAATCTATACATAATAAATCTACATTAACGGAAGGCTGAAAAAGAATTATAGAGGTAAACATTTGACATTTTGTACTAGAGATTTAAACTTTGGCATAGCATAAGCGTAGAACACATAGACCATGGACTGGATTAAGAAGGTCTAAGGTTTCAGCACGTAGATACGTAGAGAGAGTAGGCACCTGAAATTTGGCAGATAGGGAGTTTATAGCCAAGGCCAAACAAAAGAAAGCCTAAGAACTTTGGCAACCATATAGAAGCTTCTTTGGACATAAAGTTGAGTTATTCTGGTTTACAGTATACAAATCTGCAGTCAGATTTTTTAACGCGGACAGCTTAAAGTGGTTAAAGTTACATTAAAATACGAAATGCCAAGAATACGTTATTTGATGTTTCTTTACTATAAAGAAGGCAAAAACATCGGAAAAATATGCTGCGAAATTTGTTAAATGTACGCTGGGAATACCGTCAGTGTGCGAATGATGTGGTTTGCACGATTCCTTCCCGGAAATTTCGTTGTCAAAAATGTACCTCGTTCGCATTTTACAGTGTAGCGGCATTCTGCGGCTGTTCGCGCTTTTCGCAGATTGTGAGAGGTTAAAGTTTGTTAAAGAGGTTAAGTTTGGTTAAAGAGGTTAACAATAATAATATATCTCTTTCTGGCACACTTGGCTTAAGCCCGTGTGTTAGATTTACTTATCCCTTTAAAATTTTGATTTTGATATTTATTTCTGTAAGTAAATCTTTTCAGATATTTTTACAAGTCGGGATAAAAAGGTCGGGTCAAATAAAAGGGAGACCAGAAAAGGATGAAGGAGGAGGAAGATAATAATAATAAGTTTATTCCGGATGTGTGTATCTATGTATGTATATGTATTACTATATACGTATTATAGTAAAAATTAGTTGTCCTGTCAAACAACGTTTCCTATTCTGAAAACGTAGTATTTGACAGGACTAAAGTTTTTTAAGTGATTTTTAGGTTAGTTTAGAGAGTTTTCGAACAACAGAATCAGCACCATTATGCTTTAGTTTTAGTAGGTTAAATAGTGATGCGGATAAGCGTTACAAACAACCAATGTCATAGTTCAAGTAAAAATATAATGTTGCTTTAATTTTTTTGACTAATGATTTCGACCCGCATTGCAACAAAATAAAATAAACAACGTTGATGTTTCGTAGGTAGCATGAACAAAAATTACCCCGGCAACGACACCACTAGGAAGAAGATAGCCTCCGCTTTCGTTACTATTATTTACACTACCTTTTTACAAATTTAACTTTTTCTTTCTAAGTATCATTCATTGGTTGTGATCTAGAGATAAAACAATCCAACGTTCACGAAGTATTTTAGACTAAATTACAGATGCTATTTTCTCTGAAGTTGATGAACATAATAACTGCAAGAAATAATATTTATTTGCTCAGATTTTTCTCAGCTAAGTTCACACTTAATATTTCCTTTAGAAAAGTAAAATATTTCAGAATACGTTCAGCTGATTATAGCAACTTATATAGTCCTCTCACACAAAACATATGAACAACAAGAAAGCTACAGAATGCATACGTTTTCATTCCTTTTTTTTTCTCTCTCATACCATTCCCATAAAAAGCACTATTGGTCCACTTACAAAGCTTTGTCGTGTGGGATGATCACGTCTTTTTCCACTTCAAACAACGGCACAACAAAAACCGTCTTAGCAAACACACAGCCAGCATCTCTCTTTTCGTCTCCCATAAGCTTTCTAATCATTTTGAGAAACTTCGGCGCCAAACCGTAACTCGGTATCAACTCTATATCTGAGACCAAGAAGTAATTAGTCTTTGATGCATTTCTTGCAACATTTCTGCCAACGTTTACAGGATACATCATGAATTTTACTTTTCGATACGTCGAGAAGTTGTAGTTATCCAAACCGGAACAATCTTTGAAGTCTAAATTGGGAACCACCATTTCTTGTTGAAACCCTTTCATCATACGTTCTATCTTCGTTTTCCTTACCCATTGTATATATTGTCCCCTAGTGCTATTGTCCAACTTTCTATAATTACCCAATTTCTTATTTATTAATCTTGATATTGCTTCACTGCTTAGAGGTTCCAATGGTTTTTTCGTAATCTGAGATAACTTCTTCTCTTCCAAAGTTCTGATTTGTGGCGGGAACCGTTTTGGATAAAACAAATGCATCGATACCTTCATCATGCCTGGGTAGCAGTGGCACAGCTGGTGCATTATTTGCATTGTAAGATCTAAATCAAAGCCTGGTACGTATACCGCAATACTGATAGGCCCCTCCCAGTATCTAGTTATTTCTACAAGATGGTATAGGAATTCGGGAGTAGCATGTGTTACATACGTGACTTCCTGGCTCTTGGTGCGGTTTAAATAGGCTGTGCCTATAATAGCGTCATAGATGACTTTGTAGGAGCTCTGGTTACCACTTTCTGGGGACGGATATATTTGAAGTTTCTCGAAACGTAGCCTTTCGGGTAGGCCATAGTTAAAATAACAGTAACTTATATTTTCGGGCCGTTTATTTTTTAGAAATCCACCAGGTTTATAGACAGCGTTCATTCTTAGGTTTGATTGCGATTGGTCGTGGTGTCTGTGTGCATACAACTGCAGCACCATGGTTAACGCAACTAGGAAGGAAGCTATCATCAATATAGTCGAGTGTCTTCTTGTCAACCTGAAGGAGTAGGCCCCAAATATCCGCAGACATCTCGACATCTTTAACGTTCATTGTTTTCTAGTTAAATTATTCCTGTAGTATACATTCCCTCGGTAAATCTTGGTATGTGCTACAAGAGTACTTGCGATGGATTATTTGTTATCCAATTACATGTTATGAACATTTTCCATTATGAGAACATCAAATTTTAGTAAACAATACATATAACGTAGTCAACATACGAATAAACGGCTCACAGTTGGCTAAACACACATTTTAAATGGTTGGGTTAAGACATAATCACTATAGCAACAACGATAAAATCACAATATATGTTCACAACATGTTAAATAAGTCACATTAGTAAAAATCTAATATTTGAAAATAGCAAATAGAGAAATTTATCCACCACGCAATGTTTTATTTTGACAGTTGTTGCGCGCGCAGCTTGCCGACATTGCGCGCGTCGACCTAATCAATATTCCCGCCATGCTCAGAAAGTTAAAAGAAGTGCGTTCTCGTTTACAAAATCAATCATTGGAACTGAAAATGACTCTTTCAGACTATAAGATTATTATCTTCTATCTAAAGCTTTATAATAATATGTTATCAAATTCAATAAGACAAAACTTAAATGCACAGATTGTTCAAGCAAAATAATTTTGGCTTACTACTTTGGGGATCATTAGGGGGCACGGTAGTATCTCCGTCAAGTCGAGCAAAACAAAGCCATGCAGGCTATTTTCAACATCCCATAATTTTGTGCTAGTTAAAGCTAGAAACCTGAGTTTTCAGTAATATATCGGGCATAATATGACTTAGACATATTCTCAATAACATTCAATTTGAACTTGTAGGTTAAGAGCTATTGCCCGTCAAAATGCCTTACTTTTGTCACTGACACACTCACTGACCGACTGACTGATCAACATAATGCTAATATACTTCTAGCAGATCCATACGCTTCAAATTTGAAACAATTAGTTTTCAGCCCACAATTACAGTCACGTTCCAGAGAAAAATAACTTTATACTGCATAAGTAAGTTTGTAATCCTATAAAAATAACTTTTAAGGACTGAAAGGCTTACGAACTTGTTCACAGATATTATTCACTAGCGATTTGGATGTTGTTTGCATAGGTTATTTTAGGGTATTTCCTATACGCTCAAGATAATGTTACGGTTACCTTCACTTGTCGTGTTACGCAAACTTGTGCTCATACACAAAAAATAACTAAAAAAGGGAAACCACAAGTACATAGTATTAAGATACTATACGTAGTTCTACCCATTTGTAGCTAATGTACTACCTATTTGTAGTATTGTATTATATTACCTATTTGTAGCTGTTGTAGTATATTTGGTTAATTTATAAAAGAAGTCATCAAAAAAGGACTGTCTACAAAAGAGATGAGATCCCATCAAAAACATTACATGTAAAAAGAAGCAAGTCTCGCAAAACAGTTCTTCTACAACAAAAAAGTTTTGAGATATAATGTTAAACCAAATCGATTATTTTAGTCCGTATCGGGGGAGTGTCCACAGAACTTGATTTGAACCGACTTGTCTATTATTTAGAAATAAAGAGTAAGCCAAATTAGCTCCAGATTGCCAAGCAGATTGGGTTTGATACTCCACCACTAACTATCCATGTGAACATGTTTCTAACAACTTTGTCATAAATTGTTACCCATGTTATAACAATTAGTTAACTAACAATATGTTATAGTGAGTGTATCAATATTCAATATCTTTATTTTTTAAACTTATATACTGACTTGGCCATTGCACACAGCGGTTTACACCACATAAATACGAAAAACTTTATTCAGTCAGTCACAAATACGATAGCGATTTTCTTAATTCCAAATGGTTTAAAATGCCTAATATAAGAACTCCGATTGATCATTCTTCCTTTTTCTATAATTTCTATATTCCTAAAGTTTATACTTACTATCCCCAAATTACCGAATTTCAATAGTCGAGTAACAAAAAGTTTGACTTAATGATAATTCGAAAAAAGCTACACTCACAAGCCTTCGCACCAAGGATTTTCCCAAGGATAGTTAGTGGTGGAGCATCAAACCTAATCTGCTTGACAATCTGTAGCAAATTTGCCTTACTCTTTATTTGAGAACTATAAAATGAGTTCCTCCACGGTTCAATAATTGGCAAGTAGGTAGTAATCGAGTTCTGTGGATAATCGACGTGGTTTAATATTACATCTCAAAACTATTTTGTTGTAGAAGAACTGCGTTGCGAGACTTGCATCTTTTTACATGTAATGTTCTTAATGGGATCAATTATTACTGATATTTATTGATTTTAACAACGAAAACCGGACAAGCGCGAGTCGGACTCGCGAACCGAGGGTTCCGTACAAATTTGGAATCGAAAACTATACATCATGAAAATAATTAACAATCTGTTTAAGGTTGTGCCAATGAAGCCCTTTCATACGATACCCCACATGACACGGTTTACTCAATCCAAAATTTGGATCGCCGGTCGTTGCATAAAGACCCTGTTTTTTTTAATGATTTTATTACAAATGTATAGTTTTCAGATTTTTCGCTATACTTGTAATATAAGACAGTATTACTTGACAAATTTCATAGTTCTAGGTCAACGGAAAGTACCCTATAAATTTTGATTCCCTTGAAAGTGTCGAAATATATGTTTTTTGCGGCATAAACGCATCGAAATGAAAATTTTCCTTTCAAAAACTTAGTTTATTTTAGTCAGTAAATGGTGTTAATACAAAAATATGTATAATTATAGTTTAACTGAATATTTAGTAACAGGTACTTATATCTACCTGTAACCTTTCATATTCAGCTTCCTTGCGGACAGAAGCATTAAGGCCCAATTACCTACATTTACAATGAGACTTCCTACAAATTTTTAATTTAATTACTCAATTACAATGATTTGATTTTTTATTTTGAATATCAGCGATATGAAACTAGGTAAAAATTGTTTACAATGGACCAATTACTCGTCTCTAGAAAATTAGTTAAATTGGGCATTTAAGTTCGGCCTGTAAATTGCACTCAACTTTTGATTAGATGTTCCGTGCCTACAAACACGCCTCAGACAGTTTTTGGAACACTCCAAGCTGTTCAGTTGATTAAACGAAATCATGAAGAACGCTTTGAAAGAGAAATTCAAAAATAACGTGTTAGTGAAACCATTGTATAAAAGGCTTAAAAATTATAACAAAATAAAACCAACAGTGTTTATATCTGTAAGCAATATCGAACTAGATGGCTTCGGTATGAAAATAAAAAGTGATGATATTAGGCATGGCACTGAGGTGTTAGAATTAGATAACTCAAAGAAGAAGATATTTATATATGATAGATGTGAAAGTTTAAATAAAACTAATATATTTGATAAACTTTGTAAAGGCAACCCAATAAACTATGGATTGAAAAGACTTAAAATGGTAAATACTGTGGCTAAAACAGAGGTTAATGATGAAGTAGATATTGCAGATAAAACAAATAAATTCATTCAGGCTGATGATAACGAAAATATTCCACCTAAAGTAAGTAAAAACCTTTTAATAACACTGTCATCAAAATTACCGATGAAAATATTATGTACTGTCAATGTAGTGGTAGGTGCTAATAAAAAATAATATTACTTGTACATATTTACAAAAATAAAAAAGCATAACGCGTGTTTTAGAACAGTGCTAGTTATGCAAGTTCAGATCTTAGACATTAAAATAATTAAAGGTTATTGCAACTTTAGAAACAGAAACAGATGTCCTGAAGAACCTGAAGTCTGTGTATTAATGTGTTTACAGTATGGATTGGACAAATAAAAGGTACACTGCCGCTTCGTTATAACAATCACGTTTAGCGGTGTTTCCTTATTCAAAGAATTGCAACAATACTGTTCTACTTGCACTAATCAAAGTGAAACAAGGCTTTAGACAATCTGCACTAAATTCAATTTATTCCCAAAGGTGCTGTGTACGTGGTTGAAAGTGTACCCCCTGCCTCAGTCCCCTGGGGAGACGGTCGGCTCTGTGATCTTAAGGTGTATGTTTTGTCAATTTGGACTGGCGACTTTTCTTGTGATGTGGACTACAATATGGGTGTTCGTCATACATTATTTCGAAGGTATATTATTTATTTTAAATGATTTGACTACATCAAAAATTTCTTCTTCATAGTTTTCGATCCATTTTGAAATATCTTTCATAGACTGGTTTATTAATCTTTTGTATTGTAGTTTATTTTTAAAAATGACAAACTCCGCCGAAATTTGGAAAGTACAACAGTAAACACATTATGATATTTCTGGTTCACCCGGCAACGTTGTTATGCCATATAAATTATACCAGAAATCAATATTAAAAAAGAGGGGGGTGAGAGTAGGAGGTTGAAAAAACTTTACAGCCTATACTTCTATATATACATACAAAAGAAAACATTAAAATTCGGTCGAGCCGTTTCGGAGGAATGCGACCACAAACACCGTGACACGAGATAATTATATATTATAGTTATAAAACATAATTAATCAGACACTGCATCAAAAAAATCATCTTTATTAAATCATATTTAATGTTAGGATTTAGACAAAGAAAAGCCATATGCAATCTTTTCAGTTGTCAGTTTCATTTTAATATAATTAAAAAAGTTATTTCTAAAACTATTGTACTCGAAAATCAATAGTAGTCAATTTGTGTACTGCAATCCTTTATCTAAAGAAGACTTAACCCTTAAACGTCAAGTTTTGCTTTTGTTAGAAAGTTATAAATTTCAAAATCTCTAAAATTTACTTAAACTTAAAAAAGTTTAAAGTCTGATTGAAATGATTTCATTACTTTAAAAGCGATATTCTATTATTAAATTTAACTAAAACTGTGGGCTTAATGCTTTTTAGCCAAAGGCAGTGTTGCCCGTCTATAATGTGCATTGACGCAAGCAGTCAAGGACGCAGACTGCTTCAAGTTAATGCTAAGAAAAGGAGTTGCTTTATTGGTGCATTGGTAGGCATCGTTCTTTGTTTTTTGAGCACAATACTTAATAGACTAAATTTAATGCAAGAGTGGTAATTAAACCAGCCTTTGAATCCTTAATAATGTTTTAAATGCGAAAGTGACACCTACTATTAATTTGTGTATTCGTTTGCTTGTTATGCTTTTATACCTTCACCGTTCAACAGATCATAAATAATTTTACATACACGTAGTCGGAGTACACAAAGTGCACAGAATACTCTTTGTGTCGAAAAAATACCAGAGGGAGTGAATTTAAGGACAATATATTAAGGCGACCGAAAACGCAGATTAAAAACAATAAAACATAATTATGACGTAGATATAACTCGTCACCACAAAAAAAGTAGATATTATTGTAAAAAAATAAAAATATTCGTAATATTTAGATATGTTTTTTGGCAGAATTAATAATAGCCAATAAAAAAAATAGATTAAGGGAGGTACTATTAACTGTATTCTATTTAACACCCAAAATCAACCGGTCACAAAATAAAATCAGACAACAATACTCAAATATTTGTCGACTGGTGTTAAACAATACGACTGCATCATTTTTTCAACGTTTTCTAGGAATTCATTGTTTAAATACAAAAACGTTTCCATATGGAAATCGTATTAAACAGTCCATACCACATCTACCACCACACTCATTGCAATCTTTCCTATTTGTGTACGTTTATTACCTAACATGGCCGATTCTTAAAGAAGGTGTGAAAGTTAAACGATTTTAATAATGTACGTCTTACCCGTACTATTTTATGGTTATTATGTGATAAGCAAAATGTCTGATAACTTTATACTATGTTTTGGCCAGATTGCACTAGCCGTGATCACAGGAGACAACCAATTACAAATATACAGTAGCCACATCATACAATCAGTAACATAGAATGACTTTACAGACAGTAACAGCTCTAAAACACACAAAACACAAATATACACGTATATAACCTTAACTTTATGTAGCTCTTACTTTACATAACATGAAGTTACTTAAACGACAGCCCTTACAGTATATTTTACAGTAACCGTTACATAGTTAATACAAAGCTGAAATAGTCGGCAATCGCAATAATAAATCGCAACGTAAGAAATTGCAAACCTACATATGTACCTATATTGGAAACATTCTGTCACGCCCGTTGTAGCGTATGTGTCAGAATTATTATGTGTGTAAAATATGTTTATAAATTTTGTTTTATTATTAGTGTTATTATAACTTTTGTTGTGCCTGGTCATTCACACAAATAAAAACTTCTAGTCTTAAAATAGAAAGAGTCAAGCAGCTTAGTACATAGTTAATGTTTACATGTAAAATTACCAGCCCTGTCGGGCTGACTGATTCATCAACGCTGATCCTAAATCACTGGGGCTACAAACTTGAAATTTTGCCAGCTGATGCTGTTTATATTGTAAGCACCCACTACGAAAGGATTTTAGAAAATTACACCCCTAAGGGGATAAAATAAGGGTTGAATGGTAGTGTGGGAGTATTTCACTTTCACATTAAGAAACACGAAATAAGGAATAAGCACACGAGCGAAGCTAGTTTATTGACAAAATATACATTGCCACGAGCGGACCTAGGGGCAACAGCTAGTATATTAGACAAGTAAAATAGGGTTGATGACGTCCCATTATTTTTGATTACATAAGCTATTAGGAAATTCATTTAATTACTTACTACCTACATGTGGAGTCTGAATGCAGCTGTTCTGCATCTAAAGGGTATTATCATATATTTTATTCCAGGACCTGCTGAAACAAAAATGTGCTACGAATTCGAGAAACAACAGCACCAAGTTATCATTGATTTAGCAACAGAGTTAAGGCAGGTGAGTCTTAGTTTATAATCGATCGGCGGCTTTTGAGTTTGAGTGAGACCAAATTTGAGTGGACCTAGCGTCGCGCCCAAGATGGCTGGCGGTTAAAGGCACTGTACGGTGCACCGGTGTTGGCAGCACCTCGGACCACCCAGAACAGGGCACGCCTCTGGCACCCTCAGAGGATATTGGCGGTTAGAGCCATACGCAGTTGCCGCACAGTTTCAACGGAGGCGGCGTGCGCATTGCTCGGTACCCCCCGTAGGAGTGGAGGCGGAAGTGCTCGCCAAATTAAATCGACGGACGACTGCGTTCCGGGCGATTAGCGGCAGTCGGCCCCCGCCTGCAAAAGTACGCGAGTGGCGTGAGGCCTCTCGACGAGCCACGATATGGCTCGTTGGTCGTCCCGGCTGGGGACTACAAGTGCTGGTGTTGCCGGCGTGGAGGCGCTCCAGCCGGTCATCGTCAAATGGGCAGGGCGGTAGCACGGGACCCTTTCCTTCCGGCTGACGCATGTCCTTCAAGGCCACGGCTGCTTCGGGAAGCTTGCGTTGCAGCGTCGGGTCCTCACTACAGTCATCGGAGGAGATCTCTCACTACCGGCCGTCATGGCTGTATGACGGATCACTACCGGTATCCTGTGATTGCTGTTTTACCGCGGTCGCATCCTTCTGCGAAGACGTCATCTTGTAGAAGGAGGCGGCGGAGAGGGCTAGGGAGGATGACTTCCAGGACTATCAAGATAATAATAATATAGATAAGATAATAATACTAATAGAATAAGACTTTCAGGACTTTCAGGATACAGTTAACTCGCCTACTTATATTTTATTGTAATCGGCAGCAATATACTGCGATATTATTCCTAGCTTGCTTTGAGTGTATATACAGAATAATTAACTCTTTTCTTAAACCTTCAAAGCTATCTTTAGAACTCTAATCTTCTACCTCACTGATCGTCTACTATCAATAGTTCCTTGATTCTTTGATTCAACGGTAGGTACAAACATTTTATTTCGATATTCTAAATCACGTTCAACAACCATAATCGACACAACGTGCTTCTATATTTTATGATATTTACATGTCCTAAATAAATATTTAAGAATGTGAAAACGTGCGTGTAGCATGTAATTCACAGCAATAACGTTAGAGCCACCAACGAAAACATATTACTTTGAAGCGATAAACTGCTATTTGAATAAGTTATTTTGTTTAAAAAGTCGTCTGTTTTGCTTTTTATATGGCGCGTTTTGTTGTAAAGAAAACTCTTCTTAAAGATAAAACACGTTGCGACGTTTTTCGATGCAAATTGTAGATGCGTAGAATAAATTAACCAAATTCGTTTTGTGCAGATAGATTACATTACACACTTTAATAAGCGAAACATAATATAATACTTTCCCTACCCTGTAAAATACGAGATAGATTAGATACCTGCTCCCAGAATTTATCCTGTCAGAAAACAGTTTAGCTTCACAGATAAAGATGACACATACAACGGTCATACGCAGTTTCCAGTACGAGAGTTTTGGATACCCAATATGTATTGGCAGCACTGTGGCACAAACAGACGCGTTAGTTATCCATAACATTTGCAATTCCGGTGTTTTCAATAGTATCTGTCTTGATAATACTTTTGATGCACTTTGAAAATTACGATCTAAAATCTTTAGAAGTTTAATGCATTGAATTAAAGACTGTATGTAACTGACTTTGACTTTGACTGCACGGATGGTGTAGTGGTTTAAGCGGTCGCCACGCCGCTCGCTACTACGCTGAGTGCTGTGTGTGTGTGGTGTGTGGGTCTGATCCCCACATGGGACGACACTTTGTGTGATTTACAAATTGTTGTTCTGAGTCTGGGTGTTCTTTGTGTCCGTTTCATGTATGTTTTTAAAGTCCCCCGTGACACAGGATTTATTCCTAGTGCGGGAGTTGTTTTAAAAAAAAAACTGTATGAACAATTCAGGCGAGAGGGGTCTATAGACCCCCGGTCGGAACGAAGTTCCTTTCGCTTTGTGATATTATGTCTTATATGCTATATCATATTTTCATTACGAATTTTATTGACAATATGTAAGTTATAGTTACTAGGTAAAGTTTTTGATTTAATTAGTCAGAAAAAGTCGCACATTTTTAATAATATTTAGTGTTTTCGGGTAGGAAGTTTTTGTTTAATGTCTTTTTTTTAATCGGTTAAATTTTTCCATTTTTAGTGTAAATAATCATAGGTACGTGGTTGAACTACTTCACTTAGGTCGCGAGTGATAGCAACCAACGGAAAACGACCACCTTCAAATGTTATTCCTGCTGATGCGATTAACTGTGGTGGTTTGATGCACGTGTTGAAACTGGTTACCAAAGGTTCTGTTACCAAAAGGCCTAGTCCAAGTATCTTTTCCAAATTTAAATGGCCTGTCCTTCGCACGTAGTGCACGTTACTAACCCATCCTACAGCTTTGCATGTCTTTTCTCGCCTGTATTTACAGGTTACTATGTCGGCATGTTAAAGTATCATCTAACTCGTTAAAGAGTTTTACCCTCCATTATCAGCTCACCTGAATGACTTGAAATAATACAACTAAAAGTCTTGTACTATGAAAGCTCGATTGATTGATGGAATACTTATTACTTTTTTTTTACCCCGAAACAAATATTTGTAGATCATACAAAAATTTGGTCCGACCCGGGAAACGAACAAGAGACCACAGCACAGCAGTCGCAAATGCTACCACTGCGCCACCGAGGCAGTCATAAAGTATGTTTTCCAAGTAATTGATAGATAATTAAGTTATATTTATTACCTATATGGCAATGTAATATCGTTCTTTGACGTCATAGGGTACGTTATTTGCTCAATTATACTAAAAGGTTATCATACATTTTAAGTAACATATTAATTAGTCAAGAAGTTCTCAATTATATTCGTGTCTATAATTAAGATCTTTCTCAACGGTGCCGCCGCGTTAACAAAAATTTAACAGGTTCTTTGTACACAACAAGCGAGTACTTGATATTGTGTGTGTAATTAAATTAATTACAAAGAGTCTGTTAGAAAGTTCGTTATAATTAAAACATAATCTTAGATCATCGATGAATGAAAATAAAAAAAGTAAACTTTACTTTAGGATAGCGGCTCAGTTGCAGCAATAGCTATTAGTGCCAATTTGTAGTGGATTTTATTTTTGCTGAGTCCTCAAACTAGGTATGCCTATTTCAATGAGGACCTGACCAGAAAAAAATAAAATGGAAAATAAAAATAAGAAAAGTGGGACAGTGCGTGTTTGACTGTTGTGTTGTAGAAGTGTGAGTATTTGATTGTGAATGTGTTTATTTGATTTTATGTATTCGTGACCTGTAATAGCATAAGCTTATGGACCATACGGACTTTTGGAAACGTGCAGACTAGCGGATGAAAAGTGAGTTACGGGATAGTTATTTAGCGTAGTATGAATATTAGAATTCTGATTGCAGTAGTTCCTCTGATCAGGTATAAGTTCATTTTAGTAGCGATTTTTGTAATTGTAATTTGCACTGATAGTAATTGAGGGGATAAATATTATACATATTTATCCCCTTAAATACTATCAGTGTTTTTTTATAAATTTTATTGTAGAGATAAAAACCAATGACTGAGTAGTGCCGTTTCGCAAGTTTAGTTTTGTGTGTAACTAAGGGACACACATCATCCGAGCGGCGTTTAGTGGTACACATGCTTTGGCCATATAGTAACTTTGTGTGCTTTTTAAGTATTACTTGATGAATAAATAGTTGATGGACCGTGAGGATTGCAAGATCCGAGTATAGTTGATGTGTTGGGTTTCGAAATGGCTTCCTTGACATGACATTCAACACGGTCCTTTGAGCCCTTTCTGTCGGCAAAATATCTTTTATTTTAAAATACTCATTGAATTTATACAAGTTTTATTGTGTAACTAACACAAACCAACAGTTTTTGATTCATTTATATTGATCGTCCGATGACGTGAGAGGCTGCATTTTAGTGCATATCATATTAAAGATTAATTTTCTAATTATTAAAACCGCGATAACTAACGAATGGTGAGCCGTAAGAGAAAAAGTGATTGGACCATTTTTGTAGAGAATTGTATGATCTACAACTTTTGTCGATCTATTTTCACGATAAAACTTACCGTTTTCGAGAAAAATGGAAAAAACCTTAATTTTGTACGTTTAATAACTTGAATATTTTTTTTGCAGAAATAGGACCGAAGGGGATTTTTGACATTTTATTTATAATGATATATATTTAAAGTCTCTGCCAATTTTCAGCTCTATTTTGACTGGACTATTGTTCTTGCGTCAGTATGCCACTATAGCATACATTTACCTAGAGATCTGGTTTACAATTTAAATGTATGGAATTGGTCATTAGTCCGTTTGCATTGTCAGCTGTGGTGATTATTACATGGATGATTATGATTCATGAACTTAACTTTGAAGGTTAAGTTACTAGAAATTAAAAAATATATTTCTAACTAAACTAAATAACAATCTCTCTTCGAATCTCATAATTAAAATTGAGGGCCGAAGAATATTAAGAGAAAATTATATCTAGGAAGTTTTATTAAACTTACTTTATAAGTAAAGTAAGTTTAATATGTTTAATAACAACTTATATCCACATGAAATTTTCTACCAAAAATATACGAGCCGATTTGTAAAACGCCAAATGAAATCTGAACATTGTCGAAGGATTCGCAGGTACTTACGCGACTGATATTGCTTCATCCCAAGGGAAGACCGCTGGCCTACATAACAGCCGAAACTTGAATGTATACCAGATCGATTTCTTGGCACATTACGTCGCGGTTGACGCAGATATGTATCTCAGTGACGTGACGTAGATTACGTGTCAAAGTACGTAGTGTGTGAAGGGAGCTTTCGTCAGGCAATCTATTCACTAGAACCGTATGTTAAATTAAATTGGGAGATAGGTGCTGATGCTTTTGATTTCAAGAGACTTTCATGAAGACGTGTTTATTAAAGTTATATAAATGTAAATA